TGGACTTGCGCGCCGTCTGCTTGGTCCGAGCCATGACCAATAAAGCGGCAAAATAAGCAGCAGTTTGTAGAACAAATATGTCTCCTGGAATCACTGCTGCTATTTATAGGAAGTCGTGTGCGGCGATTGGGTGAGGAAAATGTTTAGATATGACGTTACAGGTTCTGATTGGGGTATATTGGAGCTTTTCAACAACGGTGCAGTTTGATATTTTTTTACTTTTGTTCTCCACCGTATCCGATTTTCATAATCTGAGTTCAAAGCTTTGAGCATTATGTTGTCATAAAAGTGCAAGCATTGGCCTCAATGGTACTACAGCTTTTTAGTTCTGTGTATTTATTTGGTTCTTGGAGAAGGAAATATTGCCGCTGCCACCACCTCCTCCCCCCATCCCCCCCCCTTTCCACTCCCGCCATTCCTGTTGCACAGCCGGAGACCAGGCAAGTTTCTGTAACCTTTTAATGGACTGCAGGGCTTCTTTAAACCTACCAGCAAAATAAGCAGCAGTTTGTAGAACAAATATGTCTCCTGGAATCACTGCTGCTATTTATAGGAAGTCGTGTGCGGCGATTGGGTGAGGAAAATGTTTAGATATGACGTTACAGGTTCTGATTGGGGTATATTGGAGCTTTTCAACAACGGTGCAGTTTGATATTTTTTTACTTTTGTTCTCCACCGTATCCGATTTTCATAATCTGAGTTCAAAGCTTTGAGCATTATGTTGTCATAAAAGTGCAAGCATTGGCCTCAATGGTACTACAGCTTTTTAGTTCTGTGTATTTATTTGGTTCTTGGAGAAGGAAATATTGCCGCTGCCACCACCTCCTCCCCCCATCCCCCCCCCTTTCCACTCCCGCCATTCCTGTTGCACAGCCGGAGACCAGGCAAGTTTCTGTAACCTTTTAATGGACTGCAGGGCTTCTTTAAACCTACCAGACTGTAAATCACAGCAGCTTTCACAGAAATGGCCCCTGTAACCAGGCACCTTTTGTTACGTGTTTATGTTCTGTGTCCTACACTTGGATTTTCTGAAACGCATGTTTCTAAAACCAGAGTACTCTTCCCCGGAGCAAAGAAAACAGTGACGCCCAGCACCCAAGTGGATGCACAGCGCCCTGGCCCAATCATTGGCTTTGGACCCTGAGGAGAACTACTTAACAATTTCAAGGCCTCACCTTTTACTTAATTTTTTTTCAATCTTGAAAGATACAAACGTGGCTCTTTTTTTCACTCGGATGAGGGAGACCAGATTGTAGTGTATTTTGATTAGCTGAGTCCATTATGGCGAACAGCCAGGTAGTAAGCAGATCCTAGCATCCCTCGTTGGCATAGGTAAAGGCTCCTCAGCCTAAAAGGCTTAGTTTAGCATTTCCATTTTAAAAGCTTCCTTTGATTACCATTTGACTTATCACCCCCACTTAGATTTCTTTACATCTTTCCAAAAATACACACTCCGTCTTGGAGGAATATTTATAACTGTCCTCTTCGAGATTCTTAGAAATTATGTGATGTATTTTTAAAAGGTAGACTCTCCGGAAAGTGGGAGGTAGAAACGGTGGTAAAGAAGACGGAGGCAATGTGTTTGGGACCCTGACATTAGTGGATGAACAAATCCCTATGTTGCTGAGAAAACGGGGAAACCCAGGGTAGCAGAGGAGACGACCGGTTTGAGAACCGCAGCAGCAGCGCGCGCGCGGGAACATGACGTCACTGCCCTGGTTTTCCCGCCGCCGGCAGCGTCGGACATTTGCATTGTAAAGGCATTTAACCGCTTTGAGGGTCTCAGACAAGATCAGGAAGTTGGCGCTAATTGTCCCGCCGGGGTATGTCTTTTCACTTTCAAACTCACAGGAATTCCACCCCCCACGGTGCGCGTGGCGGAACCGCGCAGTCCCCCGGGTATTGGTTGATGCCTGGGAGCTGGGTGTCGAGGTTGTGCATCTGATGAATGGCTATGCTGGCAGCGAACCCGGGTCGTAAACGTTAGCGCGTGGTTGGGGTGCGTTGCAAGCACTGAAAGGCACTTGACTTTGGGGAAATGCATGGAGCCGCAGGAGTCGCTGGCATATGAGGTCTCCCCGCGCCCCGCTGGGGTGTTCGTGGAGGTGCCAGCGCGTCCTGTTGTGTCTACCACTGTCCTTGGACCGAAACACAGGTCACGTCGCTCCCCGGCGTTGCGGGGAGAGGCAGTGGCACGGGCGAGACCTGGCCCCCAGCCCTCGCTCCCCCTCCCTCCCCAGCCATGCACGTCAGCCCCTCACTTTCACCGCAGCCGGAGAGCAACGTCCTAACAGCCTCCCGGTGAAGATTCAGGCGAAAGCCCTGAGGTTCTGAT